GGATACGTTACAGTAGGCTAACGTTAGTCATTAGCAACTGTGTTGTCATATAACGTTATATGTTATATTAGAAGCAAACTAAACATAACGTTACCTGTCCTGCACAGTCAAACGCAACCCCGGAATTTTGAAACTTATCCGGGGTCAGTGATGACTGATGACTTTTATAATGTAATGTAAACGCTAACGTTAGATAGTACTGCTGACTGGCAACAAACAAGGAAGATAATATAGAGGCTCAGACAAAATTAGGGTACAGTAGGCTAACAGTTAGCAACTGGATGCTGTGTTGTCATATAACATTATAGCCTATGTTACATTAGAGGCAAACTAAATTGATGTTACGCAAGTGGTTACGTCAGTCGGAGGCCTCCACGTGGGGAAGACAGACAGGATGCTCTGAGTTTTCTTAGAACCATATGAGAATGGTACAATTATGAGTTTTTTATCTCTGGTGGACTTCACTTACATTTTAGTGTGCCATCAGCTTATTAATAGCATTTGAACCTAAACAAAGAAAAGCGTAAAATTTCAGAAAGCTAAGTGACGCTTTAAAAGGACAGTTCACCGCAGGATCAATCACCCCTGCCTTCTCTTGAATATAATGGACCCAGATGGAACTCAGCTTGTGATGCTCAAAGCACCAAAAAATACATTTGAAAAGTCATCAGCAATGTCTCTTTCCTGACCTGGTAACTCAAGATAATCCACAGACCTTGTTTCGAGCAATTTCACGTAGGGAGTTTTTTTATTTCTACTGAACTACACCTGCAAACTGTATCACAGCCCGGATGGATGCATGCATCTAATTATAGACAAGAGACTCGTGACACTCGAGACACTGTGAGATGATAACATTAATGGCGTCTTCCTCGGCTAGCAGTAGATGCAGTCGTAGTTTGTACATGAAACTGCCCACAACAAGCTCTGTGGATTATCTTCAGTAACCAGGTCATGATTTCTAGAAAGAGACATTGATGTTGAGTTTTTCAAATGGTCTTTTTTTTGGCACTTTGAGCACTACAAACTGAGTGCCATCTTGTTCCATTGTAGTTGAGAGAAGGCAGACATCTCTACAGCCGAAACCTCCAACACTTAGCTCACCAAAACAATCTAGACTGATAAAAAGCACTACAGGTAAGTATAAAAAAAAAATGTGTTTTTGATTTTGGGGTGAACTGTCCCTTTAAGGGGACACTCCACTGCAGTTATACAGGAGTATCCTGTACAGGATACTTGTCATGGGGAATACTACAGCAGCTAGAGTTTTAAAGACCTGGGGCCTCATTTATAAAGCTTGCTTATGCACAAAACGGGGCTTGAACTTACCACGCAAAGGTTGTGATTTATAAAAATAAACTTGGCGGGAGAATGTGCGCGCTTGTAAGCAAACTCTGAGTCATGCGTGCGCACACTTTGGAAGACACTGGGAAGTGGCGACGCAGACGGCAAGGTGGAGAAGTGGAGTCAGATTTTTATTGATGTCTCACACAAATTTAATTTCACGCTATAATCCACCTTAGATCCACATTATCATTGAAATTAAATCCAGCAGCCTTATTTAGCGCTTGGAGTGAGTGATAATTGTTTCATAAAAATGTTGTAAAATCCAACTCAAATCCTGAATTGAAATTCTTTCTAAATACGTATTTAATCCGCACTGCCTCTAACGTCTCATTGTCCACTCTGTGAGCGCAGGAGGGGGAGAGGATGGCGCAACTGCATGGAATATATTTATTTATTTAGCTAAATATTTCCAGTGCATTTATCATGTCTCAAAATACAGCCATTAAGCACAACCATTACACTCATTTCATCAGCCCTACTTAGACATATGCTGTTAATGACAAAACCGGCATAAAGAAACGTGTTCGCCTATTACACTTTCATCTATGAATTGTATTTCAAATTACACGTTGTATTTTGGGACAGGGATACCACTGGTTCATGCTGTAATTCAGGCCAGGAGTCTGATCAGACTAATTGCCATAAACATATAAATACTGAGGTGACCCTCGTACGTAAATGCGCAAGATGGCACTGGCACATAATCCTTTTTGCCTCCACCTTTAATAAATGTGATTCTTTATGTCACACATCAGTGTCAAACAAATGTCAAATTTAAAAGCAACACATTAACTACATGTTGGTAAAGGAGTAGAAATATTTGGTCTACCTTTAGATCAGACCACTTTTTTTTGTGTTCTGTCACTGTCTGTGCAGTCCCACAGACACAGCTGACAGCATCAGCAGCGCTGATGTGTTGCCACTTTTTTTTTGCTTTCTTTTAGTAGTGATCTGTTGCCACCAAATAAAATCTTTCTTCAGTCCTCCACCTCCCGTTAAAGGGTCTCTAGCTCAGTCTCGGAGAAATTCCGTTTTTTGGTTCGTTTCTCACCCGTCGCGGTGACTCACACAACGAGAGAACACTCGCATGCCGGCTTATTTATATGCAGATCGCATTCATGAGGTGATGATGACCATTTATGGTTGAACTAGGGTGTGTAGAGGGCGGAATATGAGGCGGATCTGGGTGCGTACAACTCCACGAGGTCTGTGATTTATAAAGAGAACATTGTGTGCAAGTGTGTGTGCGCACGGTTTTATAAATCAGATTATTTTTTGGCGCACGCCATTTTCAGCTTTTGGGCACACGTCAACTTTTAGTATGAATCCTAAGCACTCTTTTATAAATGAGGCCCCTGGGCATTTACCAGACAGGGGAAGTCTAAGGAAAGAGAGTATTGAGTTGCATTATGGGAAATGTAGGATCCACTGTTCTTGAACCATACTAGGGACTAACCCAGCTTTAAAATGCAGCCCCTCATTCATTTGAATGAGGTTAGTCCCACAGCACATGGATCCTGTGCTTGAGCTGGACTCGATCATATTTCATGTCTGACTTGTACCTGAAGAAATGCCCCCACCAACGCAGCCCCTTGTGTTGTTTTAAGGCAGGGCTGATAGTCTGAACGCCCACTAAAAATCTGGACATCTCTGTCTCTGCTGCTTCAATTTTGATCATTCTTTACGGCCAGTATAACCAGAAATGATTACAATGACCAATAGCCCTTTCAGTGTTAGGCATGGAAGTTTTGTATCAGGATAGACTTGAACATTTTTAACCTAATCTGATTTGAATGCACCTGTGCCACATCTATCCATGGCTACATTAGTGTGCTTGGAGCATTATTCCAATGCTGAAATATTACCAGTTAATTTAGGAACATGTATCATGTAAACATAGTATCTGCTGAAGAAATAAATATCCTAAAACTTTATTTTGATACTCTTATAAGCAAGGTCCCGGTTGTGCTGCAGTCGCGCGCACATATAATCAAAAAGAGTCACCACAAGTTACCACAAAGCAATTTTATACACAGTGAACCTGGGGCTTTTGGGGGGCCCTTGGGATCTTGTTACCAGAAGTCTGTAGCGCCAATAACCAGCTGTTGCAGAATAATTTTGTCCACCTATTTTCCCATTTTTTTCATATACACTTGCAGCTGCAGAGAACACTGTCTCATGAAAACATTGTTAAAAGTAATATGACTTGCATATTGTGATGTCTCCTAAAGCTATAAACAGGATAAAAAATAAGATTAGGGAAATGTTTTGTGCATAAATCTAGATTTGGGGGAGGTATACGCAAGGGACATGCCACCCCTTAATATTTAAAATGTGCATTTGTCCCTTCTGATAAAAACATGAAATTAGCAGAGGAGTTTTTTTTTGGCATTTACACCAGAGGTTTTCAAACTTTCTGTGCCCAAGGTTCACGCCAAAATCTCAGGGCACACCTGTATTTATTCATTCATTTTCCGTAACCGCTTATGCTGTTGGTGGTTGCGGAGGGGCTAGAGCCTATCCCAGCTGACATTGGGCAAGAGGCAGGGTACACCCTGGACAGGTCACCAGACTATCACAGGGCTGACACATAGAGACAGACAACCATTCACACTCACATTCACACCTATGGATAATTTAGAGTTACCAATTAACCTGCATGTCTTTGGACTGTGGGAGGAAGCTGGAGTACCCGGAGAAAACCCACACTGACACATGCTGTTCACACAGAGGGGCTCCCCCACCCTTGGTTCGAATCAGGGGCCCTCTTGCTGTGAGGCGACAATGCTAACCACTGCTCACCTGTATTTATATCTGTACAAAATAATCTCTATAACGTGTGTTATCACTCTTATTGCAACATAAATGTTTGTTTTTATTGACTAATATCAAACAACAACTGACAACCAACCATTACTCATGAAATATTTATTAACAAAATGATTCAAGAATTCATTTTAAACCTTTTTAAAATTACATCAGGGCACCAATAACACATCCATTTAAACACATTATAATGTAAGATAATGTGATGTGTCACACTTACAATTCCCTCACGCTAACAGCGACACATAGCTTCCCTGTGAGAGTTTTTTAGATTAAATTAAATTATTCCTTTATTAGGAAATGGGTGCCCCTAACATACTTACACAGTTAAATAAAAAGTCATCCATAACTTTTTATATAGGCCCAGCTGAATATTGCCCACAACACACCTGGATTGGCCTCATGGCACATCATTTGAGAACCACTGATTTACACCATGAATTATTGCAGAAAAAGCACAAATTGATGCATAGAAATTCAAAAAGATGCAGGAAATGTAGTATTTGGTGTTCAAAATCTTGTGACAGAGGCACCCAGTTTCATATGTGTCCCCCCACAGCTGAAACAATATCTCTGCCCCTGGTTTCAGGTGTGCAAACTTGAGCCTGATTGAAAGTGCAGCCCCCAGTCTCCATATTCATTAAGTAACTTAAATGAACTTTGTCATGCTCCTTGACCTGTTTCCTATTGTAATTATTCAGCGCAGTGGGCGGCCGGCCGTCATCGTTTGGTTTTATTTTGGGCTGTTACAAACTCCAGAGATGGTACAGCGCAGGGCGGACTCGAGCTGCCTTTGGAGGCGTTGGTTTCTGTTTCTGTCTATCTTACGCACTATCTCCGCCCTCAAGGGAGAGACTTCTCCGTTTACCGAGCACCTTTTTTCACGCACTGCCGTTAAATCAGAATTAGGTGTGACGGACTGCACGAGCTCAAAGGACACAGCGTCAATTTAGACCCCGGATCCCCCCTCTCTTCTTCGTTATGAATCTCTGGATTATGGGGACGTCGTTATGCCACGCAGGGTGAACTACAGACGCTTTCCAAGATTAAATCACCCGAGCTAGAAGCAAGGAGCACGTCAAAATATGTGCATCAATCAGATGTTGTTCAGATGCTGCTGCACATCATCGGGATTTCGCCTGTAAATACCTCTGGGATGTTTATTTATTTTTAATGCTTTGTGGTGTTAGTGCGCGCAATGTGCAGTGGGTTTGCGTGCTGCTCGGAGTTGGCATAGCCCACAGGCATCACCTTGGTGATTATCGTCATTTTAATATCGGTAATCGGCGTGATTCGTGTGCAGCGTGCAGTAGTTGCGGCCATGCAGAGCCCGTATTGTGTCGTTGATCTCTGTAGAGTGTTTTAAATGTAAAATACAAGTGATAAATGATAAACTAATTGGCTGTGTGCATCGTTACACCAAACGCGCCAGTAGGAGTTCGCATCATTCCCACATCATAAAAGCGACGCAGCGGCTGTTTGAAGTCACATTTGCCCAGAACAAACAACTAAGATGACAAAAACCATTCTCAGGAGAGATTGTCTTTATTACAGAGGAAGCTCCATTGGGATCACATCTCAGTTCCTGGATTGCAATAGAGTTGGAGGACAGGGAGCAGAGGAAGAAGAGAGGGAGGAGAAGCAGAGGAGAGCTGCTGAGCTGCACAACAGAGCCACTGCTGATAGGAAAGCTTTGGCTTCAGTGATGGACTGAGCTGAAGGTGACGGGACCCCCCCCTGTGACAGCCAGCTTCAAGCTTTTCCTCAAGAGCCTTCACATTTGACTCAAAGGCATGTATGGACACACTGCAGCATAGGTGAGAACAGGAGCTGCCCACGTTGAACACATCAATATTGGCCTAATGATTGAAACACAACTCTCTCTCACAGAGGACAACACTGGCCTTTCATTTGGAAACTGTCTCTCAGGTCTGCACAAACTGATTCTACCTTCTCCCAAAAAGCAAGTACACCTGGAACCTCAGCCCCTTCCCAAGTGCCCTGGAAACCCACCGGAGTCTGTCTGCTGCCACAGATGTAATTAAGCTGTAAAGATTTCATCACAAGGAAGTCCTGATTTTTTGGGTAAGTGTTGCACACGTGTGGGCAGAGAGTAAAGTAACGTACTCCAAATATCGACCATCATGTCACAGTGAAGTGTTGACCAAGTGTTAGTGACAGCTGGCCTGGAGAGGTGCACTAATGGAGGTGTTAAGGCGGGTCGTCCACCTTACAGCCTGAATATTATTCTGCAGCATCGATACCAGCTGTTAATACTCAGCAGTGTTGCTCAGGTGTCTGGGTGTCCGGGCTCAGGGTATTGCCTGATGAGCCTGTTATAAAGGTGATGAATTAAAGGCCAGATGACCTCTGATGACACAGTAATTTCAGTTAAAGTGGAACATCAGCGCAAAGGTAGAAAATTAAAGCTTTGCCTAATAATTGTGGATAGTCTGTTTAGGGAATTTGGCTCAAAAGCAAAATGAGCCCTTGCTGTACCAGGAGGCCCCCCCTTCTCTTCTAGCATTGGCCAGATGGATGTTTGATAAGACCATTTATGGCAGGTTTCCACATATTAAGTTGTGATTATGCCCCATGTTCTTTGCAGGATATGAGGCCCTAAGTATCACATGTTGAACTAGTATAGTACATAAAATACATTTTGTGCCACTGAATGTATATTTTAGTGTGTTGATGCTCATGAATGCAATTTTCTGGCATATAGTGCCATTCATTTGCATTTAAAGGTCCAGTGTGTAGGATTTAGGGGCATCTATTGGCAGAAATGGTGCATAATGTTCATGTTTTCATTAGTGTATCATCACCTGCAAATAAGATTCCTTTTTTCATTACTTTAAATGGGCCGTTTATATGTACATACAGAGCAGGCCCTCCTCCACAGAGTACGCCACGTTCCTCAGTAGCTCAGAACAGACAAACCAAACGCTGGCTCTAGATAGGGCCTTTAGCATTTTGTGTTTTTGCGTCGGCCACTATAGTTCTACACATTAAGCACACAGGAGAAGTTTCAGATCTGTAAACTCACTGCTAGATGCCACTAAAGCCTACACACTGGACCTTTAATGGCATTATTTGTATGAAACATCTGCTGATTGGCACAAAGTTGCTTTCACCAAGTCTCACCTATACATGTAATAATAGACACATGGTCACATTAAGTAAAGTACCATGGCACAAAATGCAGCATGTGACATGTGATGCCCCATACTGAGCAGAGCATTATTTATTCATATAATTTATTCTCGAGAGAATTTTAAATCAGGTCCCTGCACCCTCGCCTCCAAAGGTGAACTCAGGCTAAGGATCTGATTGATTGGCAGCTGGCCTCTGTGAAGTCAGCCAGACTTTTACTGATACCTGTAGTTTGCTAATTAGCTATCTCTCTGGGTGTTGCACGTGGTGCACCTGCACAGTCTACAAGGAGGTTCTGAGAGCTGGGTTATGCAAATTGAATAATATAAAATTTAGATTTTCTCAAGTCAGAGCAAAGTCGAAAACGGCAAATATGGATTGTGCAGGGTTATTTTAGCTTTCACTAATTAGTTTGCCAAAAAGTGTCCCACTTTCACTGGACATTGCACCGCTGTCTGAGAGTGTATTTTAAATGCAAAAAAGACAAGATACGTTTGTGTGAATTTTTGTGCACAGCCATCTCAGCTGGCAAAAGCAGATGTACTTGATGTTTGGACACTGAAATACAGTGCAGGTATGATAGGAGGCCAGGATCTTTATAGTCCATAATGCACTGCAGGTTCTTCATACAAAAAAAAAAAACGCAGTGGAGAGAGAGAGAGAGGGAGAGAGAGAAGAGCTTCGGTTAATGAAATGTCTGAGGCTGCACACTTGATAGAACAAGATAAGTCCAGCTCACTCTGAGTCATTGCCCCTCGCAGGATTTCCTTGTCCTCCTCCATATGAAATGCCTGTAAGATATGAATTATCTCATATATCTCTTCGTGGAATTATTTTCTTAGTTTAGCTGAAGCGGCGGACGTCTATTAATCTTTCTCTGTTCCCCGTGAACTGTTGAGAATCTGGACTCCTTGCCTCTCTGCCACAGTTGTCAGCCGGGAGCCTGACAGCCGGCAAAGAGCTGAATCCACTCCAACACCCAAGTTTTCGTCATAATTCTGCTGCTCTTCAGCCATCTTCAATGCAACGCATGGAGGGGGCTTTCTCTCGCTGCCAAGGACAGAAAGGCTTTGTCAGTCTGTTTGTCAGAATGTTCTCTAAAAAAAAGTAGGTACTCCTGTCAGCGAGCTCCTGTCCTGCAATCTCCTCAAATTGTTTTCTTTTGCCTCAGGCCATGAATTTCTTTGCCATCCTCATTTTTTTGAGCAACCCAACAGAGAAAACACAAGATATTTTTACCCCTCTGGTTATTCTTCTCTACCCTGTGCCTCTGTTCATAGTCTACCAACATACCGCCTCATAATATTCACATGTTTTCTCTTGCAGAGCTGCCTAACAAATATCCTCTTATTAATGCATTCCTACATGGCCACAGATTTTCCAAATGTCGATATGTATTGGCTGCTTTATGACTTTTTTTCAATTCAGTCCAAGAACAAGGAATTAAACACTGATGTGTTGGTACAGTAGGAATGCTTATCAATTAATCATAGTAACAGCTTGAGGTTACGCTGCATCATGACATTTAGTCTACAAGGCTACAAAGTGCAGGTAATGATAAGCTGAATGTTGCTTGTAATGCTGCAGTTGTTTCTCTGGTGAGTGAAATTGATAAGACAGTAAACCTGCACCACTTATTTTGGGTAAAATTGATTTATTTCAAGACTTTGTGAGTGTGTTCACATGCTCTGCAGTGGCCCCAGATTGTGCCTCTCATGCTTTATCATTGACTACGTTTACATGCACAATAATACTCCATTATTATTCTGAATATGACAGTATTTCGAATTTGATGCGACTCATGTAAACAGCATATTCTGTTTGGATTTTCCAACAGCCCTTCTAAATGAGGCATTTTCCGATTAAGATGTGGGAAATGACGCTAACGCATTCTTTTGACATGTATACAGCACATTCAGTATGTGCAGTTTTTGCTGCAGTTTGCATCAGACGGGCCGTTTACAGTCAGCTCTGTGCGTTGTCATGGATACATTGTACACAAACCAACTCGCCAACAGTTTGCACACCTGGGGTGGTAATGCATGCCCAAAAGAAAAGTCCACATTTCAAGTTGGAAGAAGAAACACAACTATTTTTAAACACTATGAAAGAATTGGATATCAACAGGTTTTTGATTTGCGCAAATATGGCGATGCCGACCTTCTCGTGAAGGATTTTTGAGGAATGACAGAGGGAGGTTGTGCTCACACGGCCACCGGAGGAAAACTGAAGAAATCCAATTTTGACACAAAGAAACAAAGTAGCACAAGAAACTATAGACGTGATAAACAACATGTTAAGGCACATTAACCAGAGTATGCATGGCTGCATGTAAACGGGAATATTCATTTTTATAAGCAATTTAAACAGCTTAATAGGAATAATGTCTCATCCCAAATCAGGACAAAAACCAGGCTATTTTGTGCATGTAAACATAGTCACTGCATTCAAGTCACACAGCTAAACATTAGTTTTTCTGAAGGGTAAATCCCTGCTGATCTCTGAACAAACCCAGAACGTCTTTCGACAACACCTTCTGCCATTTTGAAGGTTTTCCCAGAATCCCCAAAGACCCACATATTCCACCTGCTGCATGATAGGAGATTATTTTTAAACTAATTTCCCAAGTTGCCGCTCTATTCCCTATTCCAAACCAAAAGTTGTAGCTGCAAGTTTCTCCTTTGATTTGAACCAAAATGATCAAGTTCTGTTTCCATTTTTGGTCATATTTGTCTATTGTTACTTTCCTTTATCTTTTATTTACATGCTCAATAACGTTTATTTTTCTTGTCATTGGTGTTGTGAGTGACTCTTGGTCTATCAGTCTTCAGAAACTAAAGAAAAAACTTGTGTGTGTGCGATATAGCTGCATGGACACATCTTCAAAGACGTGGCTGCCGCATCAGAGTCAGTTTGGGTTGGTTGGTCAAGCGGAGGTTTGCTGTGGCGGACCTGGAGTTTTAACCCCAAGTGAGTCAGTTTAGAGGTCTACCTCTCACTGCTGTCAACTGTACCTAACTTTCACAGCCTCTTCTCCAGTCTGTCGTGCTCCAATGAGATTACGCTCTGTTATATATGTTTTTATATGTTCCCCTTCAACACGCTGTTTTCTCTGGCATCCATCGACTCCACTGTTGCCAATGGTTAATGGAAGGTTTAACATACACTTCAACATCAGCTGCGGCCTTCTGCTCTCTTTCCTCTGCCGTGGCTTTCCAATCCTTTTGAGCCCTGTAAAGCTTTACAAAAGTACCTCAATATATTGAGGATTTTTTACCACTCAATCCTCCACCGGAGCATCACTCACCCTTTGAGCCCTGCTTTGTCACACTCCCAGAGTTTTATTTTGACATCCTCTAGGTTTGATAGCGCCATTTGCCTTTTACTCCGGCTTTGATACACTCCGAGTCTTCCTCCTCTCTATGCTCTCTTTACTTCCCCAGATGAAAGCAGCCATTTCTGCTCCCTCCAGGGACAGGAAGGGAAATAATTTTCTGTTAGTTAGAGCAGCGTGTAAAGCTGTTGTTTCATTTCAAACATTAAGACCTACGCAGTAATTTTTTGAAGTGTTAGGAAGAAACAAACAAAAGGCAGTTTGTATTGTGGGGGGATTCTTAGTTGAGAATCACCTCATTTTGAATTGTGATGAGATAGTACAGAAGTATCTCGGCGCAGTCAGTGTTAACAGCTTCAAATTGCTGCCTGATCTCTAATTTCATTTTTCACAATATTCAGCTGTTTAATTTGGCTCTGCTCATTTACAAGCACAGCAATAATGCCTCTAAATGCAGTAGTAAAAATGAAGGTAGCTTGATGGAGAGCTGTGCACAAGCTGCGAACATGTTCCTATGGTAACTAGGCCACACTCCCTTTGGCTAGCTCACACACACAGGCAGAGGGACAGGCAGGAGAGAAACGGGAATGCTGGAAAACACACGTGATGGAGAGCAACTTCAGATTGTTTGTTCGGGTTACTGTTCGTATGCCTTCCTGCACTGCGAGGGTATTTACATTTTAAAATGTCTGTCTCTCAGCCTGGAGGAATCGTGGTTACACTGCAGGATGTTGGAAGTCACTTTCTCTCTGTTCCTCCAAAAATATCAAGCCGATCTCAGGTTTTTTTTTCTTCCTGTGGCTCCCTCACGCCCACACTGCCCCTGCTTCCTCAACCCCTCCACCCACCTCTGCTTTCAAAAATCCTGCAGCTCTACCTCTTCTGTGCATTTTACATTTACTCGATTACAGTGCTGTTTCTAAACATAGCACCGGAGTGGCTTTGAACACAGTCAGGAGTGTCACTTGTCCCTTTTTTTGCTCAACTTTTCTTGGCATAAACCCAACATCCCTATATTTGAACATCTTGTAATGAAAACACTTTTAACATTTCAGTGACATATTTTGAATATATATGTAGGGCTTAAATTTAACTTGAGTTTAATTGTATGGATCTGATGTTTATTCACCTCGCATTTAAAAGCACTCGACATTAAAGACGAGAGTTTATTCCACCAAGCAGCTGATTCTCTCAATACCAGCAGTGTACGTCTCTGTGTGCTCGGCATCAGTAATGTCATTCTGCGTTTTTGTAAACCACTGCTTACACCTTAACCTCCTGGGGCGGTGCTGCCGGCTTGTCAAAGAGCCACAAGGTTGATACAGTGAGGTTTAGCGTCTGTCAGTCATGCAGGCTGATTGTTTGGACAGCTCGCTGTTAATGAATAGCCTTAACTTTCTGCACGCATTTGCACTGCCTGTCTGTGGGTTTTTTTTCCAACAGCTGTGATGCTGTGATGAATTTGTGATGGCAGATAAATTACCTTTGACCCAGTGTACTTTGGTAATTGGCATTTATTTCCTTAAACAGGCGCTTCTGGAGAGAAGTGTTGGTTTCAAGAGTCATTTCACCCAAATTAAAAACAAATATTTTCACATTTGCCCCTCATGCAAGTTTTTGATGATTTAAAGTGCGACTTAACACATTTTTCTTAGCTTGAATACATATTGTAAAAAGAGTATTCAAATACAGCCCACAACTGTGCTGGACATCAATGTAAGACAACATCACAGATTTTTCTGATTTGTTTGATTTAGAGGGGCAGAATTTCTAGATAGTTTTCTGGAGAAGGCAACAGGAAACACTCAAGACTGGTATCAGTTTATAGTATGATAAAGCAACTCTTCATATAATTTACTAATTCAAGAAAAATGGACTGAATTTTACGATAGTCTTTAAACACCACAAACAAATTTCTATTTACCTCCACTGTATTGATCGTCAGAAGACATGTGAAAGGATATCAAAACTTTGTATGGATCTTAAAGTCTTAATGTAATTTGGATAAACTGAACCTTTATATTTTAAAGTGCATTCATATCTCACCATTGTTGTGGAATAATTAACAAGTCCTCCAACCCATACGACCACATAGGTTTGTTCCTACCTTCTTACACGTTTCCTAAATTAGCCATCCTACCGGTGGCAGGAGATCAACACAAACACAACATATATGACCATTAATGGTTGCTGTTTTAAACCAGGTTAATGATGTGATTCGTTTTAGGCCTTAAAAGTACCTGAGGGGTATTCCATCAAGGCGGATAAAGGAAAAGCCTGTCTTACTTTGATAAGTCTCGCTAGTTTAAGTGAGAATTTGGTTCCATTATCGTGGTTTATGTAAATCCGTGATCAGTAACCATGGTAACTTCTACTGCTGGACTAGCCTGCTCCATGGCAGGCTAAAGGCCAAAACACACGGGGGGCGAACAATGCGCGTCAAAAAATACACCCCTGTTATTTTCAGTCTCTAACCCCACACTGGCGGTGGCTAGAAGCCTGTAAGTGCTCCTGGATGCACTGTCCTATAGCCATCCTTGCCATCCCCGGTATTAAATGCATTTTCCCCCGCTCACTCTGTGCTTATACATACTGGCTCCCATGGCAGCTCTTTTTCTATGCTCCTATAGCAGCTCGACTCCGCTCCTCACCATGGATGCATAAACACAGCTTTGTTGCTGTTGCTTTGAAGAGTGGATGACTAGAGACTCGTTGTTGAGGTCAAGAAATACCCCTAGCTAAATGACTCACAGTCCTGTCATCATAAAGACAATGGCCAAAAGCATACTTATGTCAAGTCATAGCTCTGGAGACTGGCTCTTCAGGTGAGAAATCAACTTTAATAAGTGGGTGACCACTAATGCAGAGGTGGAAGATGTACAGATCTTTCAGTAACAATAGCTTTTTGTGGTCTTCTGTTGACAAGCTGCAGGACGACACATCCAATGTGTGCCGGGGGTGGCACGTGACGTACGTCAACTGATGTGACGCGTTGCAGCGGTGCTGGTGTTCTTTCAGCTTTACTGTCACGTTAGTTTATCTGCGTGTCAGAGAATCCCAGAAGACTGTTGCATATTGTACAGTTGTGCACAGGCGACACTTTAATTCCGTGTTTCAGTTGTTTTTCTCACAATGTGACCAAGCATGAATTTAAATATTTAGTTTAGTTCTAAAGAACATAGACTCACAAGTCAGTCTTCAGACGCTTTGCTTAACTAAAGAATGGTGGATACAATTTCAGAGTTTAAAAAAACTCCCTACGTTGCAGAACCAATAGTAAATCTGCAGGGCAGTCCTTCGGTGGCTCGCTGAACTCTTGTGCTCGTAAACATAGTCTGACTAGAAACGTGTGTAGCGGTACAAAATGGCTTAAGTCGCTGTAAGTCCTTTTCACCAGTGTGTTAAACACACTTTAGAAAGGAGTGTCCCCAGACTATCAGAAGACGGAGATCTCTGATTGTCTGGTGGCGAGACTATAAAGAACATAATAATAAAAATGAAGTTTTACCACTTTTACTGTCTAAAACAGCCAAATAGTTATTTGACCTATTTCATTTCCCCATTTAACTCATGATCACCCATGTTTTTTTAGAATTCTTGGACTGTATAATGTGGTGACGCCCACATTTCCCAACATGCCTTGTGCTGGACTGAGTAGTTAGTAGTTTGCACTTAAGTTTGCTGTTTTATCTTCCAAAACGCAAACGCATTATAAAGTGTCTGTTCAGAACATGATGGTTTATGCTGGTTATTGTCATTTTCATGTTAGTTTATAGTTCACAGCATTAGTGAACATGCTGTTACACTCAATCATGTAAGCTGTATTTATATCTCATTTGCCTCTTTTTTGTGGTGGCTAAAATGGTGTATTTTCAGCTTAACTACTATTTTAACACATACATTTTACATTTCAGTATACGTGTCTTATCACTCAGGAAATTGCTTTTGTGCTTAATTTTCACCTTTTGCTACGTTCTTTTCTGGCTTTGAAGATAACGCCTGTTGAGAAGTAACAGAAGAATGAATATAAGTCAAGTGTTAGGTTAGACAGGCTTCACACACCTCAACGTATTAGGCTAATTACAGTTAATTCATTGTAGTTATGTCAGTTCTCCTAAGTTAGCCTAAACCATAATTCTGATATTATCTACCCCACTGATAATATAGCCATAATCATACTGTATCCTGTCTGTTAATTTATCATCAAATACAAATAAAATAAAAAAAAAAAAATAAAAATAAATAAGTAGGCTTGCATAACTTATGCATTTAGTCTGTCTGCATTTTTTGCCAAGCCATCCCCCTCGCCTTGCTAACTATTGCCCCTTTTAGTGATTACCGCTTTATATTCTACACCGAGCTGCATCAGCATGGTTTGATCCACCGGAGAGAGGAACACGGCTCTCGTTTTCTTTCCCTTTTGTGACTTAATATCCGTTTTTGACAATCCACTGTTCTGGGCTGCTTGTATACACCATGCACACGCTCAATTGAAGCATATTCCAGCCTGGCTAGAGTTAACGCTGATTAGACAAGGCTGAATTGTGTTCATGGAAAAGCCTAAGCCTTGAGTGGAAGTTGACGTTAAGTTAAACTGGGCTTTTTCAATTAAGCGCAGATTTCTGTAGCAACATTA